TTTACTTAGTTTGAACACTGTGTTTGAGAAGAGTTTCGAGACTGCCCACTCCAAGCCTACTGGAGCCCGCTAATAATTGTGAAGCCTCCGTCGACCACGCTGTATGGATTACGTTGCACACCACTGCGCCCAGAAGGGATGCAGTGTGTAGCAGCCTACTTTTGGAACCGGCTCCTCGAAAGCAGTGCGGCTGAAACTGTATCCACGACGATCTAGCCGGCCCTTGTTGGGATGATTCGCCTTTCACTATGCTGCCATTTATGATTCCGGAGTAGTGTCTCATTTTTAAACCAAAATAAAGAGTAAATGGTACAAAAAAAAGTTAGTGATTGGTCAATGTTCAATAAAGTTGTAGACTTCCGATCCTTGGTCATTCGGTGCCGATGTCGTACACGCCTTTGGTCAGCTCTCTCCATATACCCACCCTTACACCGAGCTGATCCATCCCACCCCTCTCAGTGTGTGTGTGTGTGTGTGTGTGTGTGTGTATGACCTCCTCATTACCACCGGCCAGCCTTTTGTTTCTGGAGGGTGACTGCGCACGCAGCAGTCTATTAACTCGCTATATAAATTAAGTGCGCATTTGTCACGCCGACACGTCTTTGTCTAGTGGCCGGTGTACGAGCAGGTTCCGCAGGGTGGCTGTGGCTCGGCCGTACGTACTGTATCGGTCCGATAAGAAAGCAGTCGCGGCCTCACCAGTCCATAACGAGCCCCCTCTCTCTGTCGCTCGCTATCATCTGGTACTTCAAGCCTCGACCGCGCTCTCTCTAAAAGCAGCTCTTACCTGTACGCGTTTCCTCGCCAGGGCACACCAGTTTTCGTGGGATATCCAAAAAGCCATGGACACGCAAAATACCCCCCGCCCCCACCCCTCCCTCCTTTCTCGCGTTCTATTCTCTCTTCCTCGCTCGGCGAAAACTTTGTAGCATTACAACTTTAACGTCCGGTTAGTTAACTTTCCCTCCTCTCACCTCTCCCTTGGCCTGCTAGGCACGCCCGCGCGGACCAGCCCCCATCCCCCCTCCTCCCTCACGCGTGCCGAAAAGGGGAGAGAGAAAGGGATGCTGCAAAGTGCGTGAGCGTGCGTACACACCGGTCTGGACCAGCTTCTCAATCACGACGGGCATTCAGGAGGAGCTTGTTTCCCGATGCTCTAGGTGTGTTCCATGCAAGATGACGGACAAGAGCACAATGCACCGCACTCTCTCGCCATCGAACGCATGACGCTGCGTTTGAGCGAACGTTGTTTCGTGACGAGCAACATTGTTCGCACAGTTTGTGGGCCGCATTATCTGAATGAACTACCGTGTAGTGTAACGTTTCATTTGGCCTACTCACGACTACACCCTTGCCTTGCCGGTCTTTACCGCGCCGTGGGTTCAAGATGAAAATTTGAATTTTCATAACGAACCGTTTTGGTCCAGCCGTATGGCGGTATGGCGACGCTCTCTCTGGAAAACGACGGTTGAAATCGCGCGGCGGCGTCCAGTTTGGCGACAGCTCATCTTTGCATCGCGGAAGCTTCTTCACACGGCCTGCTCGGCCGGCCTCCCGACACCCCCACATATTTATGTATGCTTATGTTCCAGCAGCGGTGCGTGGGAGTGTCGTGGACCGGGCGGGGCGGGGGTTGGCGATGGTCAGGACAAGACACGCCAGGGTCAGGGTGTCCGTCGGCCGCTCCTCCCCGCGCACTCCCACGAGGTGCATCCCGATGCATAATGGATGCGCAGCAGTGTGAGTAGCGCTGCAGCTGCGGAGTAAGATGATAATGAAAAAAAAAGAAGAAGTGATACAGGCCGTCAATGAGGTAGTCATATCGCGACGCGGAAGTTCTTGTGTCGCATATTATGTTTACTGATTGTGGGAAAAAGGTTGTGTCTCGTTCGCGAATGCGAGATGCCCAGGTGTAATCTTTTACTGCAGCAAATGATAAAAAGAGAACAGCAATGTGTTTTTTTTTTTCTTGTATTGTTTTTTGTTGCAAGGCTTGTTGTGCCACTGCTAGTGAGCGGTATTCTTGTCTGCGCTTTTCGCTATAAAATGCGTTGGAATGGTCAGACTTGTGACGCCTCATGACGTTTTCTGCCCTTTGCTTGCATGGTTGCACAGGCGTGTGAAATGGACGGCCAATTGTTCTTGGCACCGCATGATTCCGTTGCGAAAGTCGCAGTGTCGCACATCGCCTCCTCGCGGAGTGGCCAGTGTCCAGCTCGGACAGTCAGCGGGTGGGCCGGAGCCGCCCGCGGCAAAGCTCTGCGGATTGCCAATCCACATGGTGTCGATCCCCTCGGGGCCGCCGCCGGACATGCGCGCACTGCTTCTTTTGTGCCAAAGCGCCTTCTGCAACTTTTACCCTTTTCATATCAGGAGGCACATTTCGCTGAGTTTCGTTCGGCTTTTATTCTCCGCCGAACCGTGCAATACTAACGAAAAGTTGCGATGTATACGTTCGCACCTTGCACTTTTGCATGAGGTGCTTCCTCAGTACCGCACTATTGCTATAAAAACGTTCAAACCATTGCTGGATATAGTCGGAGGTTCGTCCTTAGCGATGATTTCGAATCTCGCACTATATATGGCCTCTGTCCCGCAAAGACAGCCCCACCGCACAGCAGAGCCGCCGTACGTAATGCACATCTGGACAAGGCCGACGTAATGGTCAGTGCGGCACGGCGGCGGCAAACAGGTTTGAGGCAGATGACCCCTCCAGGACAACGGCCATCCCCTCACTCCCCAGTGACAGTCTCTCTCTCGCTCTTCCTCATTTCACCCGATCGGTCGGTCCGACGCGGCGTCCAACTCGGCGACCCCTTCACAGGTACAGCCGTGTGTGAGAAAGCGCGGCACGATGGCCTGGACAGTACCCCCCCCCCCTTTTCCCCGCCTCTTTGTGAGGAAGGCCCAGCTGGCTGTGGCCGGTGGCGGTGGCTCATCGCGCGGCCGAGATCTTCTGCTTGGTATAATTTGTTACTCCTTTATCGACAGCCGATTTTGCCGGGAGAAAAGATACATGGGCGAAGGGGGTAAAAAAGAAAAATAATGTGCTATTATTTTCGGTCGGCATCCCTCTTTTCTGCGCGCGATAAGGAATCTGCCTGGAGGGTGCAGTGGGTGGTGGCAGTGGTGGATGGTGGAGCCAGATCCCCGCCAATGCAAATTTCGGAATGTGGCAAACAGATTTGTCTTCTGCTTATCGATGTGTCGTCGCCTGACGTTCTCTGTGGAATCATTTCATGATGATGCTGACGATGTCATGATATTGATGATGATGATGATATAGAAGATGATGATACAGATAGATGGTGATGATGGTATTGATGGTTATAGATTAGGATTATGGATAATGATAATTACTGATGAGCATTAGGATTCTCCTTGCCATTAGAATTCGTCCCGTTTGCTACGGACGTGCGTGCGTTCCCGGGCTTGCCCCAGACCAGACCGTCGCGGATGCCACTAGGATGTCGCGCTGACCAGCCCTGACGATCGCACCGTCCCAGGGCACCCCTATACCTACTTTTCGATACGGTACGCTCACACACACACACACACACACGCAGACGCACGCACGCACAGTGGACGTCCTGCGTGAGCGAAAACCTGTTTTCCCCCACGGGCCGCCCCTCGCGCGCACCCAACCCCCTTCCCTTCCTCCTCCTTGCGAGGATCCGCGTGGTCACTGTCCTGCTGCCTTTTGTGCCAACGGTCATCGCATTGTGCTGTGCGTGTGCGTAAATCTGTGCGTGTGTGTGCGTGAGCGCGCGAGCTCGATGACCACCCCGCTGGACACTGTGTGTATGTGTGTGTGTTGATGGCCCGAGGGCTGTGTGTGAATGTGTGTGTGTGTGTTGTCGGCCGGACACACAAACCCCTTCCAGGTGACGCAAGAACCGTATGCTGCTCTTCGCGATAAATAATGACCTACATTTGCATCTCTCGGACACTGCCCCCCCCCCTTCTCTCTCTCTCCCTTTCCCCGAACCCTTCCATGGTCGTCTCCTCTCCTCTGCGAGCCCTTCCGCCCCCCCCCCTCTCTGTCCACCTTTGTAATCCCCGACCCCGCTGTCGCTGCCGGCCGATAGGCATACATTGCGAAGTCTACGTCACCGTAACGTGCGACAATTTTTAGACAGTCCCTTGTTTTTTCCAATCACAATTTCTTTCTATTTACACCGTCCGGGATTGTTTTGCCTTTGCCAAGTATGTGTTTAATTTCCTGTAACATTTATTTTCATCTTCTATTTTTATTTTTTTTCAGGTCCGCCTTAGGAATCAAAGATTGACTGCTCGAGGAACAGAGATTGGGAGGGAGATATGAACGGTATACGTTAAGTGCGGCTCATGAGAAAAGCAAGAGAAGCAGAGGCAGACGCAGAGAAGACATGAGGTGTTAGACGGTGAGATTGCCCCACCTGGCGCCTGTCGTGCCGTTCACGAATTTTAGGTCTGAACCGTATAAAAGTCATTTTATCTTGCTCAGCTTGTTCTCTACACTTACACAAGCAGGACTGTTGTGACCGCCCTAGAACGAATTTCAGTTCGAATTTGACGGGGCCCAATAAAGGGTGTATTTGAAACTATTTGTTTGACCCCCCCCCCCCCTCTCGGATTGGGGCACGGAATCCCCTGTATCCCCTCCGAAGGGGTTCAGTGCGCGCGCGGCGACCGGGCCGGGTGTGGGGAGCGGTCGGTGGTGCTCAGATGTGTGTCAACGTGATATGATCGGCACCACCATGACGCTGAGGTGTTGTGCGCTCGCACGCCTCTGTGTGCGTGTGTGTGTGTGGCCCAACTGACCCGCTGACCACCTGGCCCGCCTTATCCTGACTCATAAACCGTTTTGTTTACACTGACCGTGACTTGGACGCTTGATCGTAATTAATTTTTTTTTTGCCTTGCTCTCTTGCGTTACAACTGATCTACGTACGGGATATGGAGTTTTTATTTTAATTCCATGTGTGATGCATGATACAAGACTGGCTCAGATTATACGACTTTGCTTGGCGCCTCAATAAGGTGGCGATTCCGTAGAATTAGGAATTAGCTTTACTTTACTATTTACTAGGCGTCGTTGAAACTGATTTGGCTCAAATTATTCAGAGCACTATATAGTTAGTCAAAGAGCTATTTCTGTTGCTTTATTATTTCAAGGGAAATACTGTATGTATGTTTGCCACCCACTTTCCCCTGTCCTTTACCTGTAGCTATTGGGGTCCACTTTTTTGTTTGGCCTTGCGGAGTGGTGGTGACCTGTGATCGCCACGCTTGAGGTGAGGAGGCTCCCGCGTTAGGACCATCTGCCGCCAGGGGCTGGGGCCTGTTGACATAGCCTAGTTCCGCAGCCCCAGCCGACAGGCCACTCACCACTGACCAGGCGTGACGGGGATCATTTTTTACCTGCCGATTACCATGTTTTTATTTATTTTCCTTTTTTTTCGGCGCGAGCGTCGAGGCGTGTGTGTTTAGTACCCATACTCCAGACCGGTGGTCATGCTGTAGACCTTTAACGTTGTTTGCGTGCCCTTGTCACCCTAAAGGAAGTGCCAACTGTCGCGCGTACTCGCGGAGATCTGAGCGCTGTTGCGGTCGCGTCTTTGATCACTCAGCCCACCAGGCGCATGTTCTTTTAGTAAAGGAATTCTGTTTTCTAAATTTGTTTACCAATGCTAAGTGAGTCGATGTTCCTTTACGGTTTGACCGAGGGTTTGACTTTTGACTTTCCACCACAACCATTCCAATGCTCGTTTTCCTCCTTTCTATGAGAAATGCAGGAGAGGAAAATAAGTCTCGAAAGAGAGAGAGGGTACAGTACTCGAATAGGAAAGCAGCGGCTCCAGTTCGCTATGAACAAGCAGTCGTAATAACCCTTGTTGAAGTTGAAGTTGAAGCTCCAGTAGTCTTGTCCCACGGAGTCAATGTTTTCGCAAGGCTGAGCGGAATGTATTGTGAACAAGGGCAAGCAGGCGCCCTTCAAGAAGCGCGCCTCCAAAAATAGAGGGCGGAATATGGAGGGGAAAGAAGAAGGGTGAAGAGGAGGAAGAAGAGAGGGTCTCAGCTTTCATTCCGAGTGGCCCCGCGCACTATGGGCCGCTGAGCGCGACGTGCCCTTTCTCTCTCGCTCTTACTCACTCACTACTCTCCCTGTCTCACTCTGCCTATCTGTCTCGCTCTCCCTCTCGCTCCCACCCTTTCTTTCTCTCTCGCTCACTCTCTTTCCCTCTCATTAAAATGCTAAAATGCTGACTCGTGCGCTTCGCACTGAGAAGGAAAAGATGGCGAGGGAAGAGAATATACAAGAGGCCGCCTTCACTCTTCACTCTTATTTCGGAGCAACATTTTTGGTACACCGTCCTGGTATTTGACTGATCACCCTCAACAATTTTAGTTTCCACTGATTCTGCTGCGTGGAAACTCCTAACTCGATTTTGGAAGCAAGTGTAATTGTGTAGGGTGTTTGGCCCTTTCGCTGTACAGAAACTCGCACTATTTTCTCGTTAAAAACGCAATCACTGCCGCACACCTGCGCCCCTCTACCGCCGCCGCCGGTGTCGCGCGCACCGTACTTATCTAGGAAGACGTAGGCAGAAACGCTCGGGCCGTATATCACAACTTGCACTGATGAAAAAGTGCCTCCGAAGACAAATGACTCAAGATAAATGTGAGAAAGAGGGAGGAACATTAGTCGCAGACCGCGTGCTCAGCTCTGGAGCACGTACAGAAGGGGCGGCGCACGCACGGCGCGAGGAGGGAGAGAGAGAGGGAGAGTGGGGGAAGAGAGAGGGAGTTATTCATTGCATTCTCTTTCCTCTCCCGCTCTCGGAGGCATACCGCCATTTTAATTTTCCGAGTTATACGGCGAGTAATGTGTCTGGCTCGCGCCCGCGGGGGTCCCCGAGCCCCGGCTCCAGGGGGGCGTGGCGCGGCGTTGCGGGGCGCTCCGTCTCCCGCACCTAGGCAGGGTGGTGTAAAACCTTCCCATACGTTTTGTTTGTATATTAAGGTTTTTGTACTTTTTTAAAGAATGAAATACATTGAGAAACGATGGATGAAGGCAAAAACGTTTTTTTGGAAGCCGTTGTCGGCACGATGATAGCCTTGCTCCGGCAGCTCCAGCCTCGTAATAGAAAGTGTATAAAGGGGCTGTAGGGGCATGGGGTAGGGGGAGGGGAAGCGAAGGCCTCGTGTATCATCCCGTCGGGGAAATTAAGTGTAAGAAATCCAATCCTTGCTCGCGTCGAATGAGCCCCTCCCTTCGCTGCCGTCCCCACCCTCCGCGCCCCGCCACGCCCCGCCATGGGTAACGGATCACCTGCAGGCGATGGATACAGTGAGAGAGACAAAGGAAGGGGCGGGGCCCCGAGGCGTGGTGGAGCGTGGCGGGGGTGGCCTACCTCGGCGGGGCCAGCCGGGCAGGGCGCTGTGCAGGAAATCATTTGTACCCCGGGGAGAGCTTGGGATTACTATTGCCGGTACAACAACGTCGGAAAGGAGAGCGTCTGAGGAGTAATGGCGGGCGGGGGCGATGGATGGTGGTGGCGGCCGCCGCCGCGGACCGAGCCCCCGTACAAATAATTGGCAAAAATATTTAATATGAAATAATTACGTTCTTAAAATGTAAGTTTCGTTTTTTTAAAAGACCGAAACGTTGGTTATCATTTCCAAAATAAGAAAAGCCCTGTCGGGGTATCTAATCCCCACCACAATAGCCACCACAGTTACCACAATTCGCCCCTCCTAGCACGTATCACCCAAATTCACAATTTTTTCCCTGTCTTTTTTTCTTCTTTCACTTTTCGATGCATTTGTTTTTGCTACAGCGGTTCAGTCATTTCCGCGGGGTGCCGCGCACGCCGTGGAGGGATCCCGTCGTATTATCATATTTATTGGCAAAATGGACTCGGCATGCGGAGGAGGGGTGGATAGAGGTGGTGGTTTGACGCCCCTGCACCCTGCACACATACACACACACTCACACGCGCGCGCTCACACTCACACGCCATAGACACACGCACACCTACACACAGAGCCACACAAACGAATCATCCACACCATCGCCTAGAACACACCCTCTCAAATTCGCACACCTCCCCCTCTCCACCCTTGCCCCTGCACTTGGGACCCCCGAACGCCAACGCCACCCCACGCCCTGCAGGGTCCAGTCAGGCGGGGGCGGGGCCCTCTCGCTTGCCGGGCCTCACAGCAGAGAGGTGGTCACACGCACAATCAAACACCACCGCCACCACCGACCCCGCAGCAGCCCCTAATCCAAGCCCATTGCGAGGCGGGGGCCCGACAATCCAGTCCACCGCAGTAGCTTATTCTTTACTCTACTTCGTTTTTTTTTGGTTTGGTTGCATTTGTTTTATCTGTTGTTTCAGGGGGGGAGGGGGATCCCAGTGCACAAATTTGAAAACTTTTCAACCCAACAAGACGTCAAATTGTGGGTGTTTTGATTTGAACATTGCCTAATTTACATGAACACGCACCAGTTTTATTTCTTAAATTTACAGCTGTAGAAAGAAATCTTGAAAAGTGTCGGAAGTTTGAAATCGCTTCTGTTGACCGTGGGTGGGTAACGTGTTTGTTTTTCTAAATTATACCGGTGTATTCCCCTTGCCAAATTTTAGTTTCTAGTATTTTTGCGTTGAAGTGTTTCTCTGAAGAATACAGAGGCAGGGACCTGACCTGCATGCGTGAGGCGAGAGAGGAGTAGCCCTGTGGTGTAAAGGGGTTGAGGAGCGAGGTGAGGTGAGGGGTGTGAAAAATGAAGGTATGCGTGGAGTGACAAGGAGTGATGCCACCAGGGGCGCGAGCAACGCATGGGCGCCACTGTGTGTGTGTGTGTGTGTGTGTGAGGAGAGAGAGGGAGCGCATGCGTGTGTGTGTTTGTGTGTGTGTGTGTGTGTGTGTGTGTGTGTGTGTGCGTGTATGTTTGTGCTCGTGTGTTTATTCTGTAGTTTGTAAACACTCATCGAAAATTGGCATGAAAAAGCGACAGAAGGACCAAAGAAAAGGAAAGCAAAAAAAGTAAAACAGAACTTTGTCAAAAATGCATTAAATACGTTGTTTGTGTCGGTGGCGCAAAAAGAATGCTCAAATTTGCTTTCTAGTATTTAGTATGAAGATTCTAAATAGATAAAAGAGGGAGCATCTGGACCTAAGAGCTCACCGTCCTGGTGACTGAATAATCTCGCTTCGAAGGTTCTGAATACGAGGTCTGGTGCAAAGGAGCGAAGCAGTGTGCATTTAATCCTGACTACACAGCACAAAATTTTAAGCCTGTGTCGATCAATTGGTTTAGTTGTGTTGTTTGTGGAACACGTGAGCAGAGGGAGCTAGTCAGGGAGCAACGAAAAACAAAGAAAGGCGAAACAGAAACAGCAAACTGATTTACGCA